ATTTGATAATCTTCAAGCACTATTTTATTGCCTTAGTTTACAGTGCTATTTTTCTCGGTTTCACTCTTAAAATTTCTATTTGGTTTAAATCTATATCCCTCCATTCTCTTCATGCACAGGATAGAGAAAAAGGTTCCTTAATTATCAGAGGTTTCTCCTACTATCCATTGAATAAATCACCACTTTGTTATTCTTTTTTTACTATGTCCAACCTATGCTTTAGAAGGCTAAAAACAGATGTATTTGCATGTGGTTTTAATCTATTTCATCCTGCTCCATTTCTAAATAATAAGCATCCATTTCACAAAAGAAAAAAACACAAATGATGGTAAAATACAATAGTCCCCAAACAATCATCTGGTTGAAGAAAATACTTGATAAATCTCTTAATACTGAAGGAAGGAACAAGCTGGCACCTACAAGATAAAATTCAAAATCACTCAATAGCTCAGGCTCTTAGCTTATAAGACCAGGGTTGTACAATAAGGAAAATGAAGTCATTCTCTCAGGAAGAGCTTCTGTGTAGTGACACTAGCATTGTTTATAAAGGCAATTACTATTTTCTAGATAAAAATAACATACAGAAATGCCAACTGACCAGAGACAGGACATGGAGATAAGGTATGGGAAGACCCCTTTCCTCCCAAAGAGCTTATCCCCCCAAATGTGGAAAAACTGATAGTAGCCTTAAAACTCTTAGAAAAACAATCTAAAAATAAACTATAAAAAAAATCACTAAAAGAAATTATGAAATGAAGCCTAAGTACTCCTTTTGAACATGTGTTAAAAAAAAAAAAAGATAAAAGGTTTCCAACAAACCAGTTGGAGTCAACAACACATTCATATTGAAATTCAAAAACTATATTTGAAGGTTCCTAGGCAGATTAAACATCTTGTTTGTTGATAGTAAAAATAAAAATTTTAAATCCTATTCCATCAAGGGAGATTTATTTTCTCAAATGGCAAGTACAAATTCAGTTTTCTGGCTTTTATTTTTTTAATATAAATTAAATAAAGCCACACCAATAGATACAACTTTAGTTGTTATATCAATTTTAGGCTTTATTTAAACATACAAACTGCATATTTATAAGAAATATTAAATGCAGGATAAAAATAAACAGAGCTACTTATAAAATATTCAATGAAATTATTTTTAAAACAAAATGAATCTAAATATAAAATCTGTCTTCGTATGGTAAGCTATTTAAAAATCAATTTACAAAGTCATCTTTTTAAAAATAATTATTGTATTTAACTTTATTTATTTAGTTAGTTTTTAATTTGATCAGAGAGGGACAGACCATGTATGAGAAAGAGAGAGAAAGTGAGAAAGCAAACCACCAGGTCCAGGACTCAAAACTGTGGCCAGCCATATGGGAGTCCAGCACCCTTAACCACCCTACCACCTGCTGGCCCCTACAAATTCATCTTTTGTAATTGAATTTTTTTTTGAGAGGCATATTGTTCTCTATTAGCCTACAGAAGTAATGCCAAGTTTTAATTTTCTATTTCTAAGGAAGCAGAGCACTGGGAGAAAGTGATAAAGCAACCCACCAGGCCCAGGACTCAAAACTGTGGCCAGCCATATGGGAGTCCAGCACCCTTAACCACCCTACCACCTGCTGGCCCCTACAAATTCATCTTTTGTAATTGAATTTTTTTTTGAGAGGCATATTGTTCTCTATTAGCCTACAGAAGTAATGCCAAGTTTTAATTTTCTATTTCTAAGGAAGCAGAGCACTGGGAGAGATATATTATTTATTTTCAAAATGGGGCTGGCAGATTTTAGATACTTACTTCAAAAGGACAATTTGTTATTTTTTAAGCAAAGTGTATCAACTTTAAACAAACTCCCACAATTGAATTGCTGGTAAATCAAGCCTAGTGTTCCTAAAACTACTCTCCAAATCAGAACAGAATTTGACAAGAAAATAGTATTTGCCCTATAGCGAAAACCTCTCAAAAAAAGAAAGAAAGAAAGAAAAGAAGGAAGGAAAGAAGGAAGTCGAGAATAACTAGCATTTTAGGACCATGCACTTACTCATCTTTGAATTCTTCATTACTCTTTGAAGGAAAAAAAAAAAATTTCACTTAGTATACCCAAACTTCACTCAGTATACTAAAGCACCTAAACTTAAACTAAAAATGGCTTTCTCATTTGATGAGCAAAATATGGATATAATAGCTGTTTCATAATGATCCACACCATTTGCGTGCAATGAACAAAGAGATATGTTGAATTTTATAGACAGATGATTTAATCCTCACAACCACCACAAACTACAGGGGCAGAATAGCAAGATGAATCCAAATTTGATTCTAAACCCAATGGTCTGTCCATTTTACCATGCTGCTTCTCATCAATCACAATTATACAGAAATCTTAATATTTCCAGACTATATCGATCAGACAGTTTTTTTTTGTTGTCAGACTTAACTTTTGATTATCCCTATAGAATCAGCTTAAAGAAATTTAATTGACATAGAAATTTCTAAGAAGACATCAAAAAAGAATACAGAATAAAAGCAGAACTTTACAGAACAGCTCATTTAGCAAACTATAGTAAAGAAACCTGAGAGATGTCCTGGCTAAAACTGATCAATCAAAGAAATCCTGCTAATCTTATTAGAATAATGTGTGTAGGGCCAGCAGATGGTGTAGTGGTTACATGGCTGGGCTCCCACATGGCCAACTGTGTTTCAAGTCCCAGACCTGGTGGCTTGAAACCACACTGGGCGTGTGTGCCCAAGATCCCGGGAGGAGAATGGAGGAGAAGGGATTGCAGTGTGGCCATCCTCCAGGGAGATGATTCTCACTTTCCCTCTTACTAATTCTGTATCTTTCTCTCCAGTGAGCACATGTACCCTAGGGCAAAAACTTCTAAAAAAAAAAAAAAAAAAAGAATGTGTGTGTGCAAAGGCATGTGCAAAGGCATATCTAACCTAAGTACTAAGCCTGAATTAGATGCATACCTCCTAGAACCTTCACATAATTGATTGTTAACTCTACTGCTCTATAACCTGTGGGTTTTTTTTAATAAAAACCATAGGCACTCACCATGAAAAATTATTTCTAGTTACTTCTTATCCCTAATTTCTAGTATATGGGAAGCTCTCCAAAAAAAAAAAAAAAGTTTGGTAAAGGAATTAAATACATTAAGAATAGAACAATTTCTTTCAGCTACTTTTCCTGTACTTAATTTTTATAAATTTATTTTATACATTTAGTCACTGTACATCACTACAGCTTGTAAAATGAATTTTCCCAGCCTGTACTTAACTTTTAATTTTTAAATAATTGTAGATTCACAGCAAGTTGCAAATAATGCAAAGAGATCCTCAGTACCCATTACCCAGTGTGCTCACATGGTAAAATCCTCTAGATCAACAGTAAAAATCAGAAAACTCTCACTCCAATTCAGACTTTATTCAGATTTTCCCTTTAGCTACTTTTAAAGAGTGTACAGTTTTTCTAGTGCTAGAAATAACTTTGGTGTCTTAATTTTTCTGATGAGAAATGAAGAGTTGAAAAGGCTGAGGATTACCCAAGTTCAAGTACTAAAACGTAGCACAAATGAAGCCATTTCTGAATGAGATCCTTTCCCCTCAGATACGGAGTGTGCACCTGGGTGAGCCATCCACCAGAACTCCATGAGACATTCAGTAAAGACCTTCAGAATATTCTTAAAGATCTCTAAATACTCTTAAAGACCTTCCAAATGCACTTTTTTAAAGTTACCTCATCAGATGGATACTTTTTTTTTTTTCACAGCATTTTTCTCTCTAGAATCTCAAAAGCTTTTCTCATTAAAAAGTTTACTATTGCTCTACCGAAAAAGACTGAAATGTTTTATATCATCAATAATATGTAAAACTAAACTCAAAGGAAAATGAGGCTAAGGCTGGTCACCACTTGAAGCCACAGTCTGCTTTGCCACCTTTGACATCTGTGCAAAGCTCTATGGCTGGCATGAAGCAGGCTCACAGACATGAATGAATGAATGAATGAATGAATGACTTAAACTGAATAACCAAACATAATAAACATTCCAAATTTCTCTTTAAAAACTCCTGCTTTTTAGTAAACACATTATTTGGGAAGAAAACTGTTTTGTTTTATAGAGTAATTTTCACAAAATCAGCGGTCTGGCCCTTACTTTGGTAATTTTCAACCCTGGCTACATGTTAACATCACCTAAGACATTAAAAAATAACATGCCATGCTCCCATCCCACATATGCGGCAGGGCCCAGACATCTGTATTTTATTTTTAAGGTTCTCCAGGTGATTCTACGTTTCTGATTATAAAGAGGAAGAAACTGAAACTGTCTCCTTCGAGATAACAAAGCCAGTCAGTAACAGAATTGAGACTGGAATCTAAGTAAGAATAGTAATTTTAAAAAAACACAATACATAGAAATAAATTCAAGAATTACAAAACTTCATTTTAACTTTGAAACTGTTGGCCATTATTTGAAAGACGAAACTAGGCAAAAATAAAATCTATTGACATTTGAACTCTTCCTGATATATAGTCACTGTTGTATGTGGGTAGACATAGAGGGGACTTCAAAAGTTCATGGAAAAAAATACAAGTTTATTTGGCACAGGAAATTTTTGATATCCACACCTAGTTTTTTCATAATATCCATTTTGCATAATTTTTTTAAAGAATTTATAAGTTCGAGGCAGTGGGAAGTTTTTGCCTGATGTAAAACCATTAGGCATATGGTTCATGTCTTTGAGTTGACAGTGCACTCAGCACAATCAGTATGCTAACAATATATTTCATTGATAGTATGATGGGTCTACTGTAGAGGCCATCAAATATGTCTACATGTCTGATTTCTTAACAAAGAGAGGTACATGTGTGAAACTGATAGAATTTACTGGATACAAAATATGGCTCCAAAGTACTGGTCATATTGCTCAGCAGAATAAATAGATAATATTTGTAACTATTTACTAAAATCAAATATTTATAATTCTAAACATACCTTTAATCGAATCATTTTCAGCTCTCATTATGTCAATGAGTGAACTCTCCAGTGAGTGCATGTCAAATGTCCGTGGACGATCCTGTAACACAAATAGCCACAAATCACTTTCTGAAATAGCATTTAAATATAAAAAGGACAATAGGCTGCATTTCATGTGATACAGATCAAAAAGTAGCAATTTTACTTCCTCTCTGCATAAGGTATGGTATTACTGCATATTATTATTAACACTTAGGAAAGATCAAAACCCACAAATGTATGTAAACAGGGTTAAGCAAAGTGCTTTGATTTCTAACAATTTTAACAAAAGTATCACTTTTACTCATAAAGTAGAAATCATTACAACTAATTTCTGTATTAGTTAAGAATATTAAAAATGCTTAAAAAGTCTTAATTTTACCACTCACTTAAGATTGCAATAACATGCAAAACTTTCTAAACTTGTTCTAGTTATCTACTAAACGGTGCCTATATGTGCTATTCCAAATAACTATATTTTCTTATAAACCAAGGTTTGAAAATAGTTATTAGCTGTCTTTAAGAACACTAAATGTCAAAGTATTCTAAAATAACTTTCTCTTATCATGAGAAGTCATAACAAGATAAATTATACCCTTATTTTAAGAAAATAAAAATACTATTATATCCATCTTTATATTACCAAGACTGTTCCTGAAAGTTAATAATTTACCTTTTCTAAAGATTTATTATTTGTTTATCTATTTATTTTTAGAGAGATTTTTGCTATAGGGCATGTGCCTGCACCAGAGACAGAGAGACAGAAAGTGAGAAACCACCCCACACCTCCCCGGGGAGATGGCCACACCACAATCCCTTCTCCTCCATTCTCCTCTCAGGATTTTGGACACGTACACACATGCACCCAGTGTGAGTCTTAAGCTGCTGGGTCTGGGACTTGAACCGCAGTCAACTACGTGGGAGTCCAGAGATGTAACCGCTATGCCATCTGCTGGTCCCTCTAAAGATTTATTTTTTAAATTAATAACTCAAATGGAAAGCAAACAACTCCTCTCAAAAATACACACACAAAAAAAATCATCTTGGTAGACTCTTCCCTCTACCAATAGAAAAATAAATCTGGAATAATGAAAATGAAGAGCTGCTTTCATTACTTCAAGGAGGTCTTCTGAAAGAAGAACAAGACAGTAAACTGCTAAAGCATGTCCATCCTGACCTACTCACCAATGCAACAAACTACTAGGTTCCCAAACAACCCAGCCATTACTTCTGCTAAATAAAGGATAAAAGGACACTGATCAGAGTTAGAATCTGGAAAATAAAACCCAAAGACATCCCAATTCATACTGACTACATCAACTTGTGATGCTAGACTTGACTTTGCTGCCATTAAAACTGAAAGAAAGAAAGGGCGTGGAGTACATTGCTGGTCTAACACCCTGGATTAACCAAGCATGTTTCAAGAGTGGGTGAGGAATCCTAAAATATACAAGGTCCCAACTGCTTTGGCATTCCTCAGGATGAAGAGTACTAGAGATAACTAAAATTAAAGCTCAGCTTGATATGTTAAAAACAGGAGATGAAAACATTTCAAAGTTAAACTCTAAGAGGAAGCAGTAATACATGCCTCTTACCCACTTTAAAAATACACACACACACACATGCAAAGACCACTGCAAGAGTAATAAAGAAAAAGGGGCTTCCAAAAGAATCTGACAAACAGGATTCTACAACTTTATCTTCAAGTATATTTTCACTCTTATTTATTTTTTAACTCAAAGCTTTGGCTTTTTTTAAAAAATCTACTCCATATTTTTTATCTTTTTTTTTTTTTCAAGTTTTGAGTAGCACATATACTCCATGGAATACTATTCAGCTATAAAAAACAAGGCCCTGGAATTTGAAAGGAAGTGGACAAATATGGAAGATTTGTTGCTGAGTGAAGCAAGTCAGGCTATGAAAAAGAGACACTATATCTCCACCTAACATATTCCGACTGTCCACACCCTTTGGCAGAGACTGAAAGACTGGAGGACATGCAGCATTAAAAATTGTTATGGACACTAGAGCCAAAGTAGAAAGAGTATGGGAGGGGAAGAGCATAGGAAAGGTAATTTGGGGGAAAAATAGAGAGGTAAGACATTTGTGGGACACAGATATGGTTTATTATTTGTTGATGAGGACGTGTATAGTATTCTTAACTGGGCTGGACTGAGGTGTATATCATGCTGGGTAAAGTCTCTTTACAATCTAAATGATCTATAGTGATTAGATGTATAAATAATAATTAAAATTAATTAAAAAAGAAAATACATAGGAAAAAAGTTTTGAGACCTTATTTTTCTGTCTTTCTAGCTAAGTTTTAGAATCTCCAGACTGACACAAAATATCCTTCACTGTAGAGCATTTCTCTATCCTCTTGACATTTCTCTGCACTTCTAAAACACCTCTCACTGTGTATGATAGTTATGCTTCCCTGAAATAGGGACCAGTCCTCCTGACCTGACCTCTTTATGTTCACAAAATTGTTTCATAATGCACTTCTTTTTTTAAGGTTTTTGCCATAGGGCACATGTGCTCACTAGAGAGAGACAGAGAGGGAAAGTAAGAAATCAGCCCCCAAGGTGGATGGCCATGTCATAATTCCCTCTCCTTTCTCCTCTTGGGATTTTGGATATGCATACCCAGCATGATTTTCAAGTTGCTGGGTCCAGGACTCAAACGTCAGTTAGCCAAGTAGGAGTCTAACACCTTAACCACTAGGCCACCTGCTGGCCCCACAATGCACTTTTCACTCCCTCACTGCGAGTAATCCAAAGGCAGATTTATTTGTATATAACCCAACATTCGAAGTATTTAGAAGAGACTATTGTAGGTATTCTCCCCCACCAGATGAGAGAGCTGGAGTGGGGATGAAGATGGGGAAGCGGGGACAGACGCCTTAAAATGCTATTCTACTTCAAACTGGTATGACTCCACAGTATTTTTCCCCGCCTTTCCTGCCAAACTTTTCCTCATCATCCTTATCTCGCCACATGGTCTATGGAGAAGCAGGGATACATATAACTAGAATCAGACCTTTTAAGGGTTAGCAGTCATAAAAGGGAGATTCTAATCTGTCGTGTACTTGCTCATGTCAAGCACTGAAGTAAATCAAAACTATTATTGCATATTCTTGTGGATGTGAGACATAATTTGAGGTTTAAAGTTCATACAAAGTTGTACTATCTTCTTCTACAGGAGCTGGATTTGTTCTCTTTTGGCATCTAGGGACTACATCCATAACAGGGCCATTCACTACCTCCACCTCCAACACGAATCAGCCTTGGAAGGAATAATTCTCAGTGTTCACTTGGCTGTGTCCTTTGTGAGTTTTCTAAGGGCAGAAACTACACTTCACACCAATGTTCACAGAATATTGACCTCAAATACCACAGCCATCGAGACAGCCCAGAAGGGTCTCAGGTGGCAGAAGCTCCGTGGCAGACAGCGAGTTTATATATTACCATTTTCTGTGTGTCATGACGTGAAACAGGTTAAGAAACACTGTCCAACACCGGTTTCATTGTGCCTCACACAGTCCTAGCAGGAAGAAGGCATGCAAATGTTTGGTAAATCAACAAATGAATTCTTTCAAATAATTGTGAAACATTTAAAATACTACTTCTCTCCTACTTCCTTACGTTAAGGTAGATTTTCATATTCCCCCATTTCCAGTATAGAGTGGCATGTTTTCTTTTGCCAGAAGAATGGAGTGGAAAAAGAAAATTTAGTCTATTCATTGTTTTTCATGTAACTAAAGTACTAAGCAATCTTGTCGATTTCTCTGACTTGCATTTTACCAACCACTGAATGAATTATAAGAGCATCAAAGAGAAGAAATTAAAAAATTTAACAGTGTTTTTATTTGGATTGTTTTGCAAGAGTTGTTTCCAGTAAGCCAAGAATCTTCTTTAGCCATAAGTTTCTGGATGTGGTACAGATTCAGTATACCTTATCCAAAATGCTTGGGAAGTGTTTCACATTTCAGATATTTTCAGGTTTTGGAATATTTGCATATCTAAGTGAGATATCTTACAAATGGGATCCAAATCCAAACACAAAATTCACTTATGTTTAATGTACACCTTCTACACAATATCCTGATGGTAATATCATATAATATTTTAGTATTGTAGCATTTTTACCATGACCCATCACATGAGGTCAGATATGGACTTTTCCAATAATGGTACCATGTTGGCACTTGGAAAGTTTCATATTGTGGGGCATTTTGGACTTCAGATTTTCAGGTTAGGGATGCTCAGCTTGAACTAGAATTTCATAAACCACTTCACATCCTATTCACCCCATACACTGGAAACATGTTTTATGTAGCTTGAAACATAAAGATGCTTGCTAAATTAATAACCACTGGCTTCTAGCTGGCAAAGCACATCAAAACTAAATCCTAAAGGAAAATTTTAAATTTCAGTAATATTTTATGGGACGAAAGAAAACTCCTGTATCCACTTTACACTGACATATAGTTTTCCTTTAATTTGTCATGACTTTATATAGAAGTGACAAGTTGACACCAGTATATAAACTCTGCTCAATTGGTACACTCAGATGCAATGTGTTGAGAAGTATTCTCGGGTTCTATATGAATTCGGAAATAAACTGCCTTAACAGATGCTGATTACTTAATACAAGGTATGAAGCCTGACAGCAGCACAAGTACCACGTTCTTGCCAACCCTGGTCTAATGAGCATTCTTCCCCAAAACACAAACTTACTAACATTTATTATAAGCTACTTTTCACTTATATAATATTTTCCTTTTTTTAATTGCCAGAGGGCACATGTGCTTACTAGAGAGAGATGGACAGCAAGAGGACTAGAAAGCACCCCACAATGGAGAGTGGTCACAGTACTCCTCCTTCCTCTCCATTTCTCCCTTCTGTGAGGATCTGGGACATGTGTATATAAATGCCACACATGTTTTCTTATGTCACCAGGGTGGGGTCCAAACTATAGTTGGCCCCAAGGGATCTGGTTTCCCCCCCATAACCACTAGGCTAAGGAGCTGGCTCTACTTTTTATTTTTATTATTTATTT